GAACGGTTTGTGGCGAACCGTGGTGAGCCGTTCGCGGGAAGTTCGCGAATGGTTCGCGACATCTCTACTCATAATATGTTTTCACTATCATACTCTAAAGAGCTTAATTCAAAAACTGTTTCATTAAACCAGTGATACATTTTTTTTATATTTTTGACTCACACATTATATAATTAGAATGCCATACAAAGACATAGCGCTTCAGAAAAGGAACAGATGAAGGAAATAATCACTACAGACATAAAAGCAACCTTTGGGAAAGGGGTTCCTGTTCTAACTAGGTAAATTAATACATTTCACAAGATTTATGCATTGAGGCAGCTTTTAAGAAAGGCTTTAAATCCATTTTCTCTCTTTTATGTATGCAGAATATGGAATGTATTCATCGACATTGAAATATAAATAACATAACATGAATGAATGAATTCTCTTACATAATAACATAAAAGAAAAAAACACTGCATAATTAAACTGCATTTCTTATGCACTATTTAAACAATACATAACAATTTATGACTAGAAAAATATCAGTTCAATAAAATCTCAATTGCTGAATAAAATGTGAAACATTTGAATGCAAGGGTGCACAGTTATAATCAAATCTATCAACTGCTAACAGATGTTCCATTTTCTGCATTGATACTTTCAGGAAAATTTAGAATATCAATATTTAAGTGATTATTGATTTGTTGAAAAATTATTTTGCATTATCCTGAGAGATCTTCAAATCTCTATGTGATTATGAACTATCTTAAATCAGGACTTGGCAAACTCTTTCCCCCTTCATCTGCCACAAGACTTTAGTTAAAGGAACACTATAGGGTCAGGAACACAAACATGTACCCCTGACCCTATAGTGTTAGGTAACTTTTTCCCCTAAGCCTCCTTAGAAGGGGTTAAAATTTACCTTCTTTTCAGAGCCGCGTGGGACCGCAGCACTGGCCCAGCCCTGGATCTGCCTCCTTGGTGACATTATCAGAATTGCCAATTTTAGGGAAAGCATTGGATTGGCTGAAATCGGCAAGGAGGTGGGATAGGGCGGAGCCAAACACCATTTTGTCCAATCAGCACCTCCTCATAGAGATGCATTGAATCATCATCTTCAACCTATTGTTCCTGTAAGTTTTCTTGTAATTGTCCTATTTATAGTTACATTCCCCCCTCTCATATTATTGTAAAGTGTTACGGAATCTGGTGGCAATATAAATGGCAATAACAATAACAATAATAATAATAAGGCATCTCTATAAGGAAAACTGAACTGCAGCACTGCCTACTGTGCAGCACTGTCCCAGGAAGCACCTCCAGTGGCCATCTGAAGAGTGGCCACTTGGATGTGAGCCTAAGGGGCAATGTAAACAATGCATTTCATTTGAAAAGGCAGTGTTTGCATGAAAATGCCTTAACCCCTTAATGACACATGACACGTGTGACATGTCATGATTCCCTTTTATTCCAGAAGTTTGGTCCTTAAGGGATTAAGGGAATGATTATACTTAACTGAACAACTACATTAAGCTGTAGTTGTTCCAGTGACTATAGTGTCCCTTTAAGTACTAATAAACTTGAGGTATTCATTTTATATTTTTGAATAAGCATTTCAAATGATTTTATATTTTTGGATAAAAACGTAAGAATTATTTAATATTTTGAAATAAAAATCAATATGCTCATTGTTTTGGGGTATATTCATATATTTTGAAGAAATCATGTTATATATAGTATAGTTCCCAAGGAAACAAACTGGGATCTATGAATACTAACCACGAAACAAAAGTAAGCAAAGTGTAAAATTATGCTGTAGTTTCCTTTAAAATGTATTTAACACATGTGCAAGGCAAGAAAATAAGTCTCTAAAAAAATATTAACTTACCTACTGCACCATTGGATTTCCATTTTTCTGCTTCTTTTCCATATGTCCCACTGAAATTACAAGTCTGCATCCGTGACGAATCACCGCTGCTCTACAAGAATTGTCCTTATTATTGTGGACTTTATTATTCTGGACTAGTGTTTAGTTATTTGAATCATACTATTTTATGTGTACAAAATATTTATATTAAAGGTGCACTCTTCCCTTTGTTTTTTGCTCTCTCTCTAATTATCTGTAGGGGATTGGAGGGTACTCCCCTTTTTTAGGTGTGCTGCCTGTTTAATATATATACCCCTCAATTTTGTGGCATTTTAGCGCGGATCCCTCTTTGACCTTTTTTCTTACAGTGGGAAAGACTGGCTATTAAACAGCAGCATATGCCAATTACCTCCCTCCTGACATCATACAAGAGGTCCACACATCCTCTATAAGTAATATTTCACTTTGAAGCTCCTGGGCTGATCTGATTTGCCAGAGGTACAACCTTAGCTTTGTTACAACAATTTTGGAACACATCAGCAACTCAGGTTGTGTTACCAGGATGTGACCAATAGATATGTCTTTGTAAAGACCAAAAATGTAATCTATAGATCGATAGATAGAGAGATGCTTGTATTTACTTTTTTTTTTTTACATACTTTGTGGTGTCTGATAGGATAAAAATATTTAACCCACTTGTAATAAGGAGTCCCTTTGTAGTCATGGTCTATTTGTTGTTTACTTCTCAAAACTGCTTAAATGAGCATATATACCAACACAGTACAAGTATATATCTCAATGCTAACGCCCTTGCACAAGTGACCTTGTACCCACATTCTCTTCTAACCAATGCTTCCTGTTCAGCAGATAGGGAATAAATAACAAACAAAACCCGAATGTGGTCAGGTTGAACTTTGTAATCTATGTACTCAACTTTCATTGTTCCCTTTTTATTCTAAACTTCACTATGGTGTCTCTTCTGGTAATTAATTGTTTTTGACAATCATCCAAGATGTTTTGATTCTGTATACTATAAAAATGTGATGGAACACCACATGATAAGACATCTATATAAACTGATGTTATGCCAATAAAATTCATAGTTAATTTGAACCATCACTATTTTGGTGTTGTGTGTCAATCAATTCTCTGAGCACATAGGTTTGGTGTGCTGGCTGGAATTCCAAAAATGGACTACAGCCATTAAAATTCCCAGTGGAATAATGTTTGCCCTTACAGTGTCATATACCACTTTTTTTTTTTTTAATATTCAGTAATACACTTTAGGCTCATCCTCTACATGAGGCTTGCTGGTCTATGATTAAATTGTGAATACAGCAAAATGTGTCAGACTGCTATTCCTGCTGGGGTTGTCTTTAGCACTTAGTATTTCATGTCAAGTATTAAATGTTTCAATACACATAAGAAGTGATGCATTTTGTAGCCTTGCCCAGTGTACAACATCTTATCACAAGGATACACTTTCCTTTTGTAAAATATTAATGTTTTAGAACCAGCAGTAGTTTGGTTGAACAGACGACTACATTTCTGAAAATTTTAGAATAAACTGCTGCAATCACAAGCCTGTGTCAAAGCTGCTAAGTGGTTTTATCTTATTTTTTCCAATGGAGAGAGAGAGAAGAGAAAAAGAAGGAAAGAGAAAGCACTAAGATAAGATTCAAAAGCATTTATGTGTACAATAGTCTGATAATGTATATTTACTCCCCTCTGATTTTTTTCAATATTTATAACACTATATTTAAATTCACTTGATAGTCAATTTATTTGTGTATCAAAATGCTTGGCATATAGTATCATGTTTAAGTGATACTTTCCTTTTATATAAATAAGCACTGTCAGATGGTGGGGAAGTCTTCAGTGATGGGAGTTGCACTTCCATGTTGTTCAGGATATTTCTATTTATTGGCACTTATAGAAAAGAACATATATATATATATATATATATATATATATATATATATATATATATAGTTAATAAAATGCACACCAGTCAAGCCATAAGACTTGCTTTTCCCACAGGAATCACAAATTTGCAGTGATGTTACTAACATAAAGGATTCTGGGTGGGCATATGCAAACTAGTTTGTCATGCCAAAAGCATGAATTGGTGTTTGATGTGTGTTTATATATGTTAAGAGTAGTTTTTTTGTAAACCTCGGGATGACATTTATTGTGGTCTTTGATCTTGCACCAGGCCTAGACCATAAAACATCTAGATAGCCATCACCAGAGCTGGACACAAGGAATTTCATAGAGTGGGCAATAGACTGCCAGACCAACCCCCTCTGATCCCCCCCAGGGGTCTGCCCACTGAGAAACAACTAGTTTAGATATATGAGGGTGTTGGACTATCCAGGGAGTCAGTTATTCATTTTTCTTTTGTCAGTAACTTCTAGGAGATCTATACCATCTAAGACTCCCACAAGAATTCTATATGGGGTAAATATATGTAAGGAATTTCTTGTGTTTTCTCCTATTTTATTTTATGTACTGTTTTGCAATTTGTTATCTGTATGTCATTTATTTCTGTATTTTGTACTCAGCACTGTGAATCCTTTTGTCAGATTAAATGTTTACTTAATCAGCTTGTGTCTCTGTTCTCTATGAGCTTCACTCTCCAGAGGAAAGCTCAGGTAAACACGTTACCAAAAAGGGGTTAACTATATATGTTTTATCAGTAAAAGTAGAACTGTGATACTATAATTCTCCTGTGTGTGGGGTAACCTAAGACGCCCGGGTTTAAAAGTCTTGGTGGTGGCAGTAGTACTAAGGGGGATAGTGTAGAAGGGATTGCAGGGGTTAATTGAGTGGTTGCTGGGACTAGCAACAGGTAACCAGGGGTCTGGTGTCATTAACTCTGTCACTTCCACACTCTCCCCACTGTCTCGGCTGGGCCTATAGCCCACGCACGTGACAAACTGGCGGCAGCTAGTGGGATATATTTAGAGATTTTTAGTGCTTGCTAGATTTTACCTGTAAAGGGGGTCTTAGCACTAAAAGAAATTGCATACTTGTTTTTATGTAATTTCCAAAGACCAAGCTCAGTGCTGATTTAAAATACATACAAAGTGCAAAACAGTTCTCCCCTCCCATCTTTTGTTTTTCTTTCTCTATCCTATTTGGGAATATGGAGGCCTATCGCAAACAATCAAAAGAGGCCTTGGAATTGTTGTGCCAAGAAAAGAATTTACCAACTTTTGGCAAAAATAAGGCACAACTTATTGCTGACCTTGTGGAGGCTGACAGCCATATTTTCCAGCCAGAGACGGACACTGAAAGGGTTACCGAGCTCCCTACTACTGCAGGAGTGTTGCTTACTGAAATGCCTGGTGGTTGTACCCCTCAAAACATTAAGGACATTTGCTCAACTGATTTATTTCGGCAACTGATGGCTGCAAATCCTCAGGAGGCCCTGCATGTGATGATCCAACAGCAGGCTGCAGAAAGGGAATCTGCAGAAAGGGAGGCACAAAGGAGACATGAGCTGGAACTTGCTAAACTGCAATTTACCCTTCAGTCCTCACTGAACAGCAATGCATCAGAGTCCAGCACACGTAGGCTCCGTAAGGATGATTTTCCTTCCCTCGAAGAAGGGACAGATTTGGATGTATTTTTTAAAAGTTTTGAGAAAGTATGCAGGCAGCATCAACTACCCTCAGACCAGTGGGGCAGATATTTAACTCCACAATTGAAAGGGAAAGCCTTGGATGTGTTTGTGTCCCTTCCCCCAGAGACTGATAACAACTATGAGGCAATCAAATCTGCATTGCAAAAAACTTTTAACCTTACTCCTGAGTCTTACAGGAAAAAGTTTAGGAGTATGCAGCAATGCCCATCATCCAGCTGCATTCTATATGTTGCACAATTAGAAACCACGTTCCGGCAATGGGTAACAGGAGTACAAGCTACTACCTATGAAGCCCTTAATGACTTACTGGTCCTAGAGCAGTTCTTGCAGACCCGGAGCCCTAATGTACGAGAGTGGATTTTGGAAAGAAAGCCAAAAAATGCTAGGGCTGCTGCAGAACTGGCAGATGACTATGCCGACATCCATGCACCCACATCCAGGCGTGGACTTGTGTCAGCTGCTACTTCGACCTGGAGAGAAGCTACAGTTCAATCACCACCTGTAAGATCTGCAGTGAGAACTTCACCGCCGACTGCCAGCGTAGCCGGGGCTATGTCAAGTGAGTCAGATGCCCGCCGTTGTTTTCAATGCAACCAGATTGGTCATCTGAGCAGGACTTGCCCCACTAGGAATATGCCCTCAACAGTCCGTGGAGGGGCACCATCAGTATTGCTTGTGGGTGGGTCCGTGGGGAAACGAGAGGATAACCTGCAGAGTGTAATTGTGGGTGACCGAGTGACCATGGGACTGAGAGATTCTGGAGCTTCCTTCACCCTGGTGCACCCTGAAGTGGTGAATACGGAGGACATAATCCCTGGAAGAACCATGTCCATCAAAGGAATTGGGGGTGTGCGTCCCGCTGTGCCCTTGGCACATGTGTGTACCTTGATTGGGGTGCGGGCAAAGGTTTGCGGGAAGTGGGGATTTCGGAGGATATCCCTGTTAATGTTCTGTTGGGGAATGATTTGGGCAGGATGTTCTGTCACTATGCTCCAGAGGACACTGTTTGTGAGCCAGAGGGGCTGACTGCTCCACCTAAGGTATTGTGTGAAACTTTGGGAGACATTGTGAACTGTGACTGCTGGGAGGGAGAGCAGGGTGTGGATAAATATCTACCTGTAACTGAACCAGTGATGTCTACCAAATGTGAGATAGGGGTGAGTAGTGATGTGCCTGTATCAAAATACTGTGAGGCTGGGATGTCAGAGAGTAAGGGTGAGGAGGAAGGTGAGAGCCAGGGATGTGTACCACTAGTCGCAGTGGTAACAAGTCAGCAGTGGATCACGGCTGCAGAGTCTGAGGGGCTATGTGAGATTGCGAGAGGATGGCCTGCCTTGGAGAAGAAATTATGTGAGTGTGTGCAAAATTCTGTATCTGATCAAGGGGGGTCAAATGTGTCCTGTGAAAATGTATGTGATGTGGTGGGTGAAAATGTGAAGGGACAGCAAGGCTATGAGGGAGGGCAGAGGGTGTGTGAGCTTTACTCTACGCCAGACTTAGCCAGTTTCCAAAGTTCGGTATGTGTGATGACCCGGAGTGAAAGTGAGGGGCACAGACAGACTCAGCTTGTGGGTCCAGGAAGGATGGCTGCAGGGAAACATACTGTTGGAGGAACCAGGAACCTTGTCAGTTTATCACAACTCACGCATACACCTAAGCAACTTTCTGATTGTGAACCAAAGGTTCAGAGTCTGATAGTGCAACAAGGCCAGCAGACAGACCGCAAAATGAAAGAGATGATGGATGTTGATACAGCACATCTATCCTGGGAGTGCTCTCTTTCTGCTTTTTTGTGGGCTTACCGGGGAGTGCTGCAGAAATCCATTGGTTTCTTCCCCTTACAACTACTACATGAGCGCAGTGGGTGTGGTTTAAGGGATGTTACCAGAGATCGATGGGGAATTGAAACAGGCAAATCAGGCATGTTTGAGGATGTAGCTGTGGTATGGACTGATCACAACCTGCTGCAGGTGACAGGTAACAATGATAAACTGCTCCATTGGAGCCCTATCCTCCAACAGTATAATTTCACTGCCCAGTACAAAAAGGGCAGATGGCCTGTCTCGGCAACTAGAGGGTTAATGGTAGACAGATAAATCAGCCTGTGGCTGAATTTTTCTGTCCACCATCTTAAGGGGGAGGTGTCATGCCAAAAGCATGAGTTGGTGTTTGATGTGTGTTTATATATGTTAAGAGTAGTTTTTTTATAAACCTTGGGATGACATTTATTGTGGTCTTTGATCTTGCACCAGGCCTAGACCATAAAACATCTAGATAGCCATCACCAGAGCTGGACACAAGGAATTTCATAGAGTGGGCAATAGACTGCCAGACCAACCCCCTCTGATCCCCCCCCCCCAGGGGTCTGCCCACTGAGAAACAACTAGTTTAGATATATGAGGGTGTTGGACTATCCAGGGAGGTCAGTTATTCATTTTTTCTTTTGTCAGTAACTTCTAGGAGATCTATACCATCTAAGACTCCCACAAGAATTCTATATGGGGTAAATATATGTAAGGAATTTCTTGTGTTTTCTCCTATTTTATTTTATGTACTGTTTTGCAATTTGTTATCTGTATGTCATTTATTTCTGTATTTTGTACTCAGCACTGTGAATCCTTTTTGTCAGATTAAATGTTTACTTAATCAGCTTGTGTCTCTGTTCTCTATGAGCTTCACTCTCCAGAGGAAAGCTCAGGTAAACACGTTACCAAAAGGGGTTAACTATATATGTTTTATCAGTAAAAGTAGAACTGTGATACTATAATTCTCCTGTGTGTGGGGTAACCTAAGACGCCCGGGTTTAAAAGTCTTGGTGGTGGCAGTAGTACTAAGGGGGATAGTGTAGAAGGGATTGCAGGGGTTAATTGAGTGGTTGCTGGGACTAGCAACAGGTAACCAGGGGTCTGGTGTCATTAACTCTGTCACTTCCACACTCTCCCCACTGTCTCGGCTGGGCCTATAGCCCACGCTCGTGACAAACTGGCGGCAGCTAGTGGGATATATTTAGAGATTTTTAGTGCTTGCTAGATTTTACCTGTAAAGGGGGTCTTAGCACTAAAAGAAATTGCATACTTGTTTTTGTGTAATTTCCAAAGACCAAGCTCAGTGCTGATTTAAAATACATACAAAGTGCAAAACAGTTATTCCCTCCCCATCTTTTGTTTTAATTTCTCTATCCTATTGTGAATATGGAGGCCTATCACAAACAATCGAAAGAGGCCTTGGAATTGTTGTGCCAAGAAAAGGATTTGCCAACTTTTGGCAAAAATAAAGCACAACTTATTGCAGACCTTGTGGAGGCTGACAACCATGTTTTCCAGCCAGAGACGGACACTGAAAGGGTTACTGAGCTCCCTACTACTGCAGGAGTGTTGCTCACTGGAATGCCTGGTGGTTGTACCCCTCAAACCATTGACATTTGCTCAACTGATTAATTTTGGCAACTGATGGCTGCAAATCCTCAGGAGGCCATGCAAGTGATGATCTAACAGCAGGCTGCAGAAAGGGAATCTGCAGAGAGGCTGTCCGAAAGGGATGCGCAAAGGAGACATGAGCTGGAACTTGCTAAACTGCAATTTACCCTTCAGTCCTCACTGAACAGCAATGCATCAGAGTCCAGCACACGTAGGCTCCGTAAGGATGATTTTCCTTCC